CTCTAAGGAGCTGCATGAGGTCTAGTGGGGAAGAGTAGATGTGTGCTGCACCCTCCTTGTCAGGCCCAGGTTCCAACACTGGGTCACTCCCGTGAGTGGGGAGTGGCTGCCAGAGCCCAGGTTTACTACAGCACCGCCAAGCAGCCAGGGTGTCCTCCAGATTTCCATGTACACAAACAAGAATGCTGGCCCTCCCGTCAAATTTAGGGTAAGTCCAACATTGGGGCACCATCCCTGTGCTTTTCCACACTCACGAGTCCTCTCTCTAGGTTGTAAACTCTGGGAGTGAGGGGTGGGGAGAGGAGAGGGAACATTCATAGGGGAGCACCAGCGTCTGCAAGCCAGGTGAGCATCACGTTGGGTCCTTATCAGGGCTGGGTCTGGAGGGTAAGCAAGGTGCCCAAGGTGCTCTGGCGCTAGTGCCCTGGAGGCGCTCACCCCCAGACTGTGCATGTGCGGGGTGGGCACCTCACTCGCCTCCTCCAGTCCCAGCTGGTCCTCATGTGCAGCTGTGACAATTCAGTCTAGCAGGGCTGTTCCAAGCTCGCCGTCTGGTCAGGCCTGAAGCCCCACCCTCCACCAGAATTTGACTGCAGCTACTCACCCTCAGCAGCCTACAGGTGTGCCAGAACGTGTGCGCCAAAGGCTCTGGATGCTTTTCCCACTAGTCCAGTCAATGCATGACCTGAGGAATGGCAGAGGCGGAAGTGCAGGTAATTCCTGCCTAGTCCGCTGGCGCAAAACAGTAAATTCCAGTGTCTGCTCAGTGGAGGGAAAAGCCAGCACCAGCACTGGCCTCATGGCTGCTCTGATGCGTCTCTGACGTTCAATATTCCGCAGCTACCTCATCAGCCAGGATCTGCCCTCAGACAGAACTAATGCCGTCTAATGATGGATGTGTAGGCAGCCGGCTGGCTGGAGAGTGAGGCCAAGACATTTGCAAGGCCCGGAAGGAAAGAGCCAGCTGAGGGCTCATCCCTCTTCTTGTCTCTGGGGATGGTGGCATGAACTGAATGTTCTGGGCTCTACAGAGTCCAGCCAGGCCTAGGAGCAGTAGTCAGTTGACATCTGGGCATTGAACACCCACCTTATGAGGGCTGCCACCACAAACGCTGATGGCCTTCCTCACCTACGTGCCCTGGAGGGTATCCAGCCAGGGCAGAAGTTTATAAACATAGTCAAGGGTAGTGAGGCCCCTCACTGCCACCCCAGGGGGAATGGAACCAAACAGAGGCAGGACAGCATCTCCGCTCTCTGTGCTAGCAGAGTCCCTGCCCTGCTGGCTAGTGGACATTCAGCCTCCCCAGGGCCGTGAGCCCTGAGAAACAGCCCTGTTAGCCAAGTGACTAGGAGGGGCCACCAATTCCCTGCTGGGTGTGGAGCTGACAGAACGAGACAGATGGCTTCCAGCACATGGCCCCACCCACAGCCCAGCTGCTGCCTTCCTGCAGCCTGTCTCCTTCCATTCGGCAAAGTAAATAAATACATAAGTTGTTGGCTGTTGCTGTTTTTAATGGAGGCTTGGGGGCAGTGGGGAGAAGGAAAAAGATCCTCCATGGGAAATCACATTTTTTTCCCAAGTGCCTGAAGCTGTTGGTAGGGAGATGGGCCCAGACCCACTAGTACGTGGCTCTCAACAGCCCGCGCACACCCACAGCTTTGGGGGCTCAGGCTTCAGGGGGCTCCCCATCCACATGCTTGGGAGAAAAGAAGACGAGATGGCAAAGGGGCTGAGGTGGCTCAGGGCACCGTGACCCCCGCTTACTACGGGCACAAGGAAGTGCCTGCCTGGCGGAAGGGCCAGTGGAGGGGGCTGAGGAACACAGCCTCTGGGTCACAGGCACCTCAGGATGCTGCCCACCTTCCCAGGGGCTGATTGTCCCACCAGGAGGTGACATGGCAAATTGATTTCTGTAGTGCTGGCGTAGGTGGGCTCTCCAGGCACGGCAGTTACGTCATGTGTGTGTGCATGTAAGTGTCAGTGTGTCACTCCTGTCATCACAAACCTCCAAGACCAAGTGCGCTCCTGTCTGCTGACCCACGCCACTGCCCCGGGAGGAGGGTGGATGGCCCCAGGCATCATCTTAAGGCAGCAAGGCCTTTGCAGCTTCACATCCAGCCACAGGGCACAAGGGTGAGGGCAGGGTCCCAGGGCAGCAGGTCCAAGTGCCCTTGCCCCTCCAATCAGGGGAGCCCCTGGGCCCGCTGGCTGCAGGGGCCTCTGATTTGTGTCTTCTTCCTCCCTCCTCTTGCTCTTCCTGCCAACTGCTGTCTTCTGGGCTCCCTTCCATTGGAGGGGAAGCCTGTGGCTTTCAGAGCCTAACAGTGCAAACCAAATGTTTTCCATTTTGTGTTTTCTGTGCTTCAAGAACACTTATTTGGAACTTGGCACAGAGGGGTAGTGACTAAGTTCCACTCTCAGTAAAATCAATAGCTTGTCCTTTTTGTAATTAATGAATGTCTAGTGCGAAGAGGGTTTCCAGTGGTGATATAACAACTTCCTGTGAGCCTGAGGGATGGAGACCTTCTGAATTAGGAAGCCAAATGGCACGCCCTTTCCCATCTTTATAATGGGGGATGAGAGGGGTCTTGGGACAACGACGCAGGCAATTAAGGTCTCTTCTGATTATTGCAGCCACTCCACGGGGCCTGGTGAGGGGCACTGCACGTGACCAGGCAAGGACGAGCTCGGCATCCAGAAGCCGCTAGCCTCTCAAGCAGCTACGTCCCCAAAGTGCAGCTCCACTCACGGACCCTGACCTCAGCGGGCCCAGCCGGGCACCTGGGGAGCCGCTCTCCATGGACACAGCCGGGCTGTGCCCTGCCTGCTCCCAGTGGCTGCAGGCCTGCGCTAATGCACCCTCTGCTGCGCCTCTGCGGGGTCGCATGGCAGCAGCCTCCAGTGGACACAGCTGCGAGTCTCCAATAATGAGATCGCTGCAGAGTCATAAACACCCTCGCCAGGGGCTCCCCTCGCCCGGCAGCACCAGCTTGGCCCCTGCACTAACTACCCCTGAGTGCAGCCGTGCAACTCCCCTGCTGCCCGGGAAAAGGCACCGAAGGGTGACAGTCTTGGTTAGAAAAGGGAAATCAGGACTGGGTTCTACCCAGTGGTTTTCTCAGTAGCTTCTCCACAGGCTCAGGGCTCCTCGGCCCCCGCACGCCTCGCTCACAGCACTCGCTCCTGTGCTGGGAGTGCTGATGTGGCTGTCCCCAGTGGACGACAACAATAAAGATCAGAGCTGCCATTTGCTGAGCGCTTACCACGGGCTGGGCCTGGGCTAGGAACTGCGTTCTCGCTGCATGCCTCTGGCCCTGCGTGCGTTCACCCTGTGCCGGGTCAGAGTCTTTCCTGCCCCCTGTCTGAGGCCAGCACGGTGCCTGGGACACAGCATGGGCCCAGGAGGCATTTGCTGAAGGAATGAGTGAACAAATAAGCCAGTGAAGATCAAAGTAAGAAAGCCTGAATTCCAGATTGGTGTGGTCTTTACGCTTAAGATTCAAAACCCATGGTTTTGCTCAATGGACACTCATTCAGGCATCGTCTGCTCCTAATCAGCTCCAGAGGGCTCAGACCACTGAGGGGTTCAACAGAGGCCTGTGTGCAGGGAGTGTTCAGCACACCTGGAACGGGTAACCCCCAAGAAGAAGCACCTCCTCTCCTGCTTTCAGTGCTGCCATGCTTTCCTCTGATTCCACGTGCATGTGTATGTGTGTACATGTACACACATGTGAGTGGGGAAGCCCTCTGCAGCCTTCCTAGCACCGTGGGTCTTCTGGGACCCGTTTCTTTCCTGCCTCTCTGAGCACAGGGTTCAGAAGAGTCCCTGGCCTCAGTGGGCCTTTGCCAGGGTACCCCACTCCACCTGACAGAAAGCACGGTGCCACTGAGATGCAGCCAGTTCTCACAGGCTCAGGAGTGGTCCTTCATTCTGCCGCTGACACACCAGGCACAGCTTGCCCTGCTGAAAAACCCTCTCTGGGTCCTGCGGTCCTGGCCCTCATTTGGGCCCAAAGACTCACACAGGCCTCCTCCCCAACCCCCTGATTTACCTTCCAAGGCAGCTACAGTGGAATCCCAGATGCTCCAAATCTAGGTGGGATCTCCCTCTTTCCACTGCACCCTCTGCAAGTCCCGAGCATGGGCCTCCCCCGTGTGCCACCCTCCCCGCAACACACAGGGTCTGGCCTAACAGTGCCCCCTGAGATCTGGCCTCCGGATTTTCACATTCTATAGAAATCGAAATAGCAACAAGTTGCCTGGATCTGAAGACACAGCACCAAAGCAATAAGAAGCCAATATTCCATGCACAGAACCTACCGGCGTATTCACGAGAAAAGATATATTATTGGTGAGAGGGGCCCTCTCTTTTGGAGAACTGGCTGTGGACTGCTAATTGGGGGTCTCTAGAGTCTGCTATTCCAGCAAAGGGGCTGGTGCGGGGCTGTCAGGGACACAGCGAGTCTTCTAGAGATAATCTGCAGACTGGACAAGTTAAGACGTTCGGAGGAAGAGGTGGCTCACGGCAGAGCACAGGTGAGAGCCGGGCTGCACCCTCTCACCCACGCCCCCCCCCCCCCCACCCGCCGTGGTACCCACATCCCTGGTTCCATGGGAGGCAGGACTCACGGGCCCCTAGAAGTTCCCAAACACCAACCTTTCAGGTGATGGGAGCAGCTCCAGGATTCTGGCATTTTCCCATCACAAGACAGACTCCCTGTTAAATGTCCAAAACCAAGGGGGAGAGTGGACACTGGGTCAAGAAGCTTCAGGAGGGCCAGCCCAGTGGTGCAGCAGTTAAGTTCACACGTTCTGCTTTGGTGGCCCGGGGTTCACCGGTTCAGATCGTGGGTGTGGACATGGCACTGCTTGGCAAGCCATGCTGTGGTAGGCGTCCCACATATAAAGTAGAGGAAGACGTTAGCTCACCACCAGTCTTCCTCAGCAAAAAGAGGAGGATTTGCGGCAGATGTTAGTTAGTTCAGGGCTAATCTTTCTCAAAAAAAAAAAAAAAAAAAGAAGCTTCAGGAATATTCTGGTTCCCGACTCACCTCTGTGGGCTGGCAGCAAAGAGGAACAGTGGGGGGCACAGCTTCCCTCGCTAATGTGGCTTCCCAAACTCTTCCAGGAAGAGACACCTCAATCCTGTTACACTCCAGTACATCTGAATTTCTTAATTAGGCAGCAATTAAAAATCACTCCAAAAGTTTACCTTCGGCTAAACCAATGCAGGAAGCAGACACAAAGTGCTGTGACCATAAAGCAACTGGTGTGGCAGCGTCATGTCCTGGGACACGATCCCAGAGGCTAAGCAAAAGGGCCACAAAGTGCTCTTAATGTTCTCTTGGTCACAAGATTCCCTAGGATGAGGCGTGGCCCTCTCATTGGAGGAGCCTGTGGCACTCAAGTGTCCAGGACACCTGAGGCATCTCCCTAAGCCGGGAAGCCACCTGGGGTCCCCAGCCCATGACATGCCTGATGTGTGGACCCCTTTCCAACATCCTGGGGGCGGGATGTGCATTCCTCTTGCCTTTTGGGATGTGTAGAGGAGGTCTGGCTGCTGATGCTTCATCGTGAGGAATGGGGCCTCGGGTCCTCCCTCCACGCCCTGTGCTTAGGGTCAGGCTCGGGTCCTGGGGAGCAGGGAGCTGACCACTGCTGAAAGCCTTGTCTCTGTGCTTCCTCTTCAGGGCAAAGGAGTGAGGAGCCTTCTGGTTAGATCATCACTGAGACAGCACGGAGAGGAGCCTCAGAGAGCAACTGCCTGGCCTGTGATGGCTCCAGTGGGGAAACTGAGGCTCAGAGATGGGAAGGGGCCAGCCATGGCCAAGGGGCTCAGGGTCCTGCACTAGGTTCCCCAAGGACCAGCCAAGACCCTCCACGATGGGGCAGGCTTGCTCTTCAGTTTGGGTCTTCTGGGAGCAGTGACTGCCCCACTGTCCCCAAACGATGTGGCTGTGCAGTTGGGCCTCAGCCCATCAGAGAAAACATTCATTTTCCAAACAATCCACAGAAGCAGCTGTATTAGCACTCTCAAAACCCGCATCGACTATGTGCTTGGGATGTGTTCCAGGCAGCCCCCGTGTCCAGGGTGGGGGTGACCCCTCCCCTACTCTGCCTGGCGTCTACACACTTCCTCCTCATGCAAGTCCAGGATGCTAACACCTCCGTTCTCACACGGGCTCCAATGACACCCGGGGTTTCCCTGGGGCCCTCAGGGGCTGCAGCACCACGTCTGAAGCAGAGAAGGGGCAGGTGTTGCACCAGGGACGGCGCTCGCTCTGGCTTCAACAGACACGACTCGGTTCTCACGTTCCTGGAGACTGAAGAGGCTTCCCACACCCAGGCTGGAAAAAATCATAGGTGGTGCTGCGGCCAATCCGGGGCCAGGTCCCCAAGGAGCCACGTGGTGGTTTCCCCCCATGTCCATCTGCACCGGCCACCTTTCCAGCTCTGGTCGGTGGTCTGGGGCTTGTCCCACACCCTAGAGGTCAGCGGGCACAACCACAGGGAGGCCTTTAGAGGGAGGCAGGGTGGCTGGCAGGGCCTGGGCCTGGGCCTGGTGTCCAGACCAGCAGCCTGGCTCCACACTCCACATTTGCCTCTTCTAACAATTAGCCTGGAAGGTGCTGGCAGCTGCCAGGACACGGTGCAGCAGGCCCTCCCCAGCATAAAATATTCATCAAGAAAAACTCCAAACAGCTACACTGCCTTCCGTGTCAGCCGGGCCCTGGGGATGGGAGCTACAAATAGACAGGAGGTTGAAGAATTGCTGACAACAGGGGGCAGGCGGGGAGGGGAGGACGGTTGCGCCCCCACCGCGGGCACACGCATGTAGGCCTCTCGGAGCACAAGTATGCTCTGAGAGACAGACGACGCTCATGTTGGCAGCCCCACAGTGAGCACCAAGGGGGCCAGGCCGGAGCTGAAAAGCCCTCTCTGGGGAGTCTGACCACTTTTCCCACCAGAGGCTATTTTTATCAAAATCAGTGGGCCCCAGGACACCTCGCTAAAGAATCAAAGATTATATTTAATTAGCGAGAAATAGCCTGGATCGACATGAAGCTGGCCGGCGGGAAGGTGTGGCCAGCAGCAAGATTCAGTCACGGTCCCCTTCACTCTAGCAGGTCTCTTTGCCCAGCACCCCACCCCGCTGCAGCCCCCCTGTGCCCTAGCACCTCCTCCACCACCCTCCAGGCCACAGGTTTCTGGAAAGGGCACACAAAGTCTCTTGGGGACAGAAACTGGCCCCACTCCAGGGCTGCTTCCCAGCTCTGGAAGGTCCTAGGTCCCCCCACAAAGGGCTCCTTGACTGCAGGCCACTCTCCATGGCAGACTGGACCCCAGGGGCGCTGAGGCCCTTCTCACAGAGCCCACATGCTGCTGACCCCTGCTGGCTGTGGCACTGGTCTCCCCAGATGGCTGACTCCTGGGGTACGTGTAAGGCGAGGGTAGCAGGCACAGCTGCGGCAGCTGCTGGATTCCTGGGAGGGACACCTTACAACCTGCCAGCAGCCAGGATTGCAGACCTTGCCAGAACACCCAGCAATCTGCATTTTCTCTAGACGCCTTTTCAAAATAAAGATGGTCCCAACTCCTTGGCTATCCTTGGTCTTACGCCCAAGTGGGGATCCCCGCAGGTCCCTGCCTCCAGCTGGGTGGCCTCCGGGGGTTACTGCCCCCTTCGCTCCCGTTACAGGCAGCCAGCTCCTGCCTGCCGCCCTGAAACTTCCTGATTCCTTTCACATGGATGGTCTCCAAGCAACGGCCCCCTCTGCCCCCAGCTCCAGGCCTGACCTGAAGGCAGGGCTCTCACCGAGGCCCTGCTCGCACGGAACCTATGGAAGTTGCAACTGCTCCCCCAGCAAAAGCTGATCCTCACCTCCCGCTTCTCCCTCACGGCCCTTGCCGCCACCCGACATCCTCTGTTTTCCCTACTGGCCATGGTCTGCTCTGCTGGGAGGGCGGCTGTAGGAAAGAACAGTGAACAGCAGCAGACACCTTTGGAGCTCCTGATAGAAATTAGCTTACAGAATTCTCACTTGCCCTTTGTGGTGTGTACTAGGGCCGTCACCACTATACAAATGAGGAAACTGAGCCACACAGAAAGCACGTGCCTGAGGTCACACAACTAGCACGTTAAGAGTCCTGATCAGGGGCCGGCCCGGTGGCACAGCTGTTAAGTGCGCACGTTCTGCTTCTCGGTGCCCCGGGGTTCGCCAGTTCAGATCCTGGGTGCGGAGATGGTACCACTTGGCACGCCATGCTGTGGCAGGCATCCCACATATAAAGTAGAGGAATATGGGCACAGATGTTAGCTCAGGGCCAGTCTTCCTCAGAAGAAAGAGGATTGACAGTAGTTAGCTCAGGGGTAATCTCCCTCAAAAAAAAAAAAAAAAAAAAAGAATCCCAATCAGAACGCAGACAGCAGGATGCCCGCTCCCACCGCCGGACCAACAGCATAGGGAGGTAGCCGTGGGGTCTTCAGGGACCTGCACTTGCCGCTGCGATGGACTGGAGGAGCACTGACTCGTGGGACAGAGACGTGAGCAAGTCTGTGAATCGCTACCACACATGTCCTGAGCCCCACTCCGCGGGAGTCCTGGAGTCGTTCTGGGCCAGGAGGTGGATACTAAACTGATGCCTGTGCACACCAGACGATCTCAGGTGGTACTGAGTGCCTGAAGAAACGGCGTGGTGACGGGAAAGACTGGCACGGGGCGGGGGGGAGTCATGCTTTATCTGGAGGGTGAGGGAAGGCCAACTAAGGAGGAAATATCTGCGAAACAGTGCAAAGAGCTGGTCCTGACTCTGAGGGACTGAGGAAGAGGAGCAGCAGGTGCAAAGGCCCCGAAGCAGGAATGAGTTTGGAGGTTGAAGAACAGAGAAGCCTGGCTTGGCTGGACCCCATGCCAGGGGACACTGAGGAGCCGCTGAGCACTTTAGGCAGGAGAGGAGGCGAATCCCTTTGGTTTTAACAAACTCACTCAGCTGCAGGGTAGAGTCGGATCAAGGGCAGGAGGAACGGAGGAGGAAGTGCAGCTCGGGCCTGAGCAGGGATCCAGCACTGGGACAGGGTCCAGAGACGGTGGGCGTGGGGGCTGAGCAGAAGAGAGGAGCCACCAGATCCTCTCAGACTCACCGAGAGAGGGAACACACAAGGAGGAGTGAGACTTGGGGGGCGGGGGATAACGACTGCACTTTGGGAAGATCTGTCTGAGACGCCTGTGGAAACCCTGTGGAGGGGGCATTGCTGGCAAAGTCGGCTGGGGAGTGAATGTAAACACAGGCGATGCCGCGGCAGGGCCTGGACCCAACCGCCCAGGAACGGGGGAGGGTGCAGGCCAGGGCCTTGAAGCCTCACACCAAGGGGACCATGGGGTGGCTGCCTGGACAGTGCAGTCCGAAGTCAAGGGAGCGCAGGCCTCACTGAGGCCCAGTGAGTCATGCCAAAGCCAGAGACAGGCCAGCGAGATAAAAACGGAGAGTGTCCTTGGGTCTGGCCACCCTGCTGGAGCCCCGAGGCGGGGAGGTGGGGAGGCGGGGAGGCAGCGAGGAGAGAGTCAAGGATGTGCCTGTGTGTGGTAGAATTCAGCATCCAGGCCAGAGATGTTGGGGGCAGCCTTGCTGACCGGTGTCCTCAAGGCGCACTGTGACCATATGGAAAGAGACGAGATGAAAGTCCAGGTGAGAACCAGGGCAAGCCTGCACTTAAGGGCCATGGGAGCAGGCAAGGCCCTGAGAGGAAGCCATCTCAGCCCCAGAGAGCGGGGCTGCAGAGGTCAAGGCTGGGAAGGTCAGGTGCGGGCGGAAGCCGTCCTGCCAAGGCACTGGGTGGGGGGTTGGGGTGAGGACGGGCACCCCCAGTCCCTGTACTCGGGGCAAAGGAGGCCCCCTTAGGCTCAGGTCAGAAGTGCTGTGGGGGCTCCCCACCTGGAGAGGGGCAGGTGAAAAGCACAGGGGGAGTGTATGGGTTAGGAGATGAGGGGAGGAGCAAGGCTTCAACAGGGAGGTCCTACACCCCAAAACAGGCTGAGGGTGAGGGCTGTGGGGCTTGTGGCAGGGCTGGAGACATGTGGAGGAAGAGGAGAAGGCCGAGAGCGCCCCCAGCCTGACAGGGGAACCCGTGCCCCACAAGCCCCAAGTAGGGGAAGGCCCAGCTGAGAGTCCTACATGGGAGGTGACAGGCATGTCGGAAATGGAGTGCCGGGGTGGCTGCCTAAGGATGGCTCCCCATCCCGGCTCTCACCGCGTCATTCCTCTCAACCCAGCTGAACCCCCTTATCCTTCAAGGCCAGGTTCACAACCCTCCTCTGTGCATACCCCACCCCACCCCACATCCTGAGGGATCTCATGATCTGCCACCTGACTCACTGGAGCCCCAAGTGGGACCCAACCCCGGCAAAGAGCGAGTGGAGGGAGGGGCCACAGGGGAGGGGGAGTGACATGAGGGGGCCCTGTGGGCAGCTGAGGCTCCTCCAGCCACAGTGGAGGCTCGGATCACAGTGGCTGCCACGCTGGGTGCTGCCCCCGCAGGGCCCATGAGGCCCAGGAAGGAAGGAGCAGGGACAGGTGAGCAGCTCCGGAGGCTCCTAGAGGGGCCTGAGCTGCCACTGAGAAGCACTCTCGCCCAGGTCAGGGGCCGGCCAGCCAGGGGAAGAGGCACATGGGCCTCGCTCCCAGCCTGGGGGAGGAAGTGAGCTCTTAATGAGGTCTGTTTGTTCACTGCTGAGGCTCTCAGCACAGACCCCCCTCCAGGAGGCACAGGCGCTGCATGGGGAGCAGGTGCGCAGGGCAGGGGACCTGGGGGCACTGCTGGAGCAGCGCTCAGACTGGCAGGGGGCTGAGCCGCCTATCCAGCCACTTCCACAAAAGCGCCAGGTGCTTGAGAGACCCACCCTGCCCAGGCCACTCTGCCCCCCTCTCCCTCACCCCACAGAGGGCAGGAAGCTCTGACTATAGCCCTGGGTTCCCGTTTCCTCCTGGCCCTGGAAGGGCTGCCCCAGTGACAGACATGGGGTCTGGCTCAGGGAGAAATCAGGAGCAGCCTGAACGGAGGCTTTCTCCACACAGCAACAGAAAGTTGCGTGCTGGATCCAAACCCAGGCTCCTCAAGGACTAGCTGTGTGACCTTCCACAAGCGCCTCAGTCTTGCTGGTCTGAGGGGGTCTTCACCCGTGTAATGGAGTACTGAGCAGGGGGGCCCCGCCCCAGAGCTGGGAGAGGTTGGCTGAGAGAAGCAAGCCGAGGGCTCAGAGCTGGCAGGCCCCAGGACACACTTCAGGTGAGGCACTCACCCTGACTGGCATTGGTAAGGAATTCGTGAGGGTTATTATAAAACCATCGTCAGCCTCAAGGGAAATCTGGAAGCGTCCTTCGTGCGTTCATTCAATCCACAATTACTGAGCACTTCTCAGCCCAGCATCCTCATCAACCACTCACCATCTTCCCGTTCACTACCTTGAACCTCAGCTGCCTCTGGCACCCCAACTCTCAGGCTTCCCCGTGGCCAGCACTTGCCAAAGTGTTGGGATTCTAGCTCCTGGGATCTCTCAACAGTGCCCCCGCCCCACCAGCTGTCCTGGGGGCTCCTGCCCACACCCTCCTCCGCAGCCCAAAGGCCAGAGGCCTAGCAAACTACCCCTGCTCCTCCGAGCGCCCACACCGCCCATCTCCCCTCCGCATCATGGTTTTACGCTCAGGCAGGCCTTCCACACAGCAGGGTTCATGCATTTTCAGAGAACACCCACTAAGTGCCAAGACTGTTCCAGGCCCTAGCGACCCAGTAGGAGCACACATGCTCCTGCCCTCATGAAGCTCAGTCCTGTGGGGGAGATGGGCAATTAGCAAATGACCGGCAAACCTAAGCTGGGGTAGGTGGTGGTTATTTGGAGAAGGACGGGGCAGGTATGAGACTAGAGAGGACTGTGGGGCACTCTGGATGGGAGGTCAGGGGCTCCTCAGAGGAGGCGACATTGGGCCCAGACCTGATTCAGCCCTGAAGGTGTGTCTGTGTAGGGGCTCCAGACGGGCAGGGAGCAGGGAGCAGGCGGGTGGGTGGCAGGGCACGTGGAGCCTCACCGTGAGGCCAGGAGCTTGGAATTTATTCTGAATGCACCAAAGCTTTCAGCAGGGAGGTGACAAGATCTGAAGAGTTAAAAAAGAGATCACTCTGATGCTGTGAAGAACGGAGTACGTGTGAGTGTAAGAGAGGGGGAGAAGGACCAGGGAGGAGGCTGTGGTGGCTCCAGGTGCCACCAGAGGCCTGGGGGCCAGGAGAGAGGCAGTAACGCCAGGACTGGGCAGGGGTGGGCATGAGGGGGCTGGGAGCCAGGAAGTCTCCTGCAATTGTGGCCTCGAGCCAGGGGGGACTGGGGGTGTCAGGAGCTGAGATGGGGGCTGTGCGGCAAGAGGGAGGGAAAGCATTACATGTTCCTTGGATCCAGCCTTCTGTTTACCAGGTTAGGAAAATGCTAGCAAGGCCACACCTCTAGCCCTCCTGGAGCCTCCACCCAAACAGTAGCCTCTGGAACTGTGCTCATCTTAGACCTCAGGCTGCAGAGCCCCAGGACGGCGGTCCAGTGCTGGTGGCTGTAACCCTCCATGGTCTCTGCTTGGGCCAGAGACCCTCACGGTCTCTGGGTAGAGCTCAGAGGACGTGGGCTCCCAGTGGCAGCAGCCCACGTGTGAGGCTGTGTGGCCAAGCACCTATCTACGCACACCAAGGGCAGAGCCCAGCCAGGTGGCCGAGGCAGGCAAACGCCACAAGGTCCGGAGGCCCAGCCCCGAGGTGCAGGGTCTGGCTTGATCCACATCTCGCAGGACACAGAAGCCAAGGGCTCCTGGAGAGCCCAGCCCTCAGGGGGGTCCTCATCCCTACTCTAGCATTTGTACACAGCATCAGGAGCCCCAAGGCACTGCCCTCACCCTGGAGAGGAAATGCCAATTTCAAGCAGCTCATAGGGGTCTCTCTCATCCTGTCTGCCCAGTCCCACCCCACAGTCCACAGAGAAAGGCTCTCATGTTTGACCTGTACCACAGCCAAGGTCACTGGTCCAGGGAGCAGCCAGGCCTGGGCCCTGCTCTGACCCTTTGGGAGCCGAGTGGGGCCCAGCTGCCCAGAATGGGCTCATGTGACTCAGTTTTCCTACGAGCCAGTGAGTGCAGACCAGGTCAGCCCGGTGCGGGACATCCCGAGGACACACGGGCCAGAGGTGATCACTCACCACGAGCTGGGGCACGGGCAGTGGCTTGCCCTCCTGGCTCAGGGACACGTAGGTGAAGAAGGCGCTGGCAGCCCGGTAGCGCTTCTGCGAGTTGTCCACCACAGGGTCAGCATCCACCAGGACCTCGATTTCCATGGACTTGTTGCTTGTGAAGGTCATGCGCCCAGAGATGGTGATGACACACCCTGCGGAGCACAGACCGTGGGTTAGGGGGGCAGCAGGAGGAGGGGCCGGGCTGGGCAGGGAGGGTGCAAATGTTAGCATTACTGAGGACGTTCAGACATCCAGTTAGATAACGGACCGTTTTAAAAACTACTATGACATTGAAATGACAAAACATTAGTAGCCTCTGAATGTTTATCTTTCTAGTGAGCAGAAAGCAGATGCTTACTTTCATCATTTACATGTTTATGAGTTGAAGGTATCTTAGTGGCCATCGTTGAGCCCCTCCTGACCCCCAGTCACAGCTTGTGCTGGAAGAATGCTTCCGGTCACGCCCACCCCTCAGGGGCAAGACCCCAACCTGCTTTCAGGGAGCTCCAGGGTGTGAGCGGGCTCCCTCCCTTTCAGGGTAAGGCCAAATCTGCAGCCTGCGCTGTCCACGCTTTGGCCTTCCCTGTGCCCGCTGGAGCCACAGCTGCCCCACCACGTTGCTGTGAGCACCATTAACAAACCTTCTTCCACCTTCCCTGGCCCCTTCCAGCTCCCTGGCTCCGTTTCTGACGCTGGTCTGATAGAAGCTTTGGATGCTTTGTCGGGCCAAGCTGTCACACTGACCATGGTCCTCTGCCCTCCTAGAGCCACTGCCACTTCAGCCCACGGCCTTCTACCCCTCCGTCCAGGTGGGACTGTGTCTGTCCTGTCAGGCTCTGCTTCTCTCTATCATCTTGCCCACGGGACCAGAGCTCTCCTTTCGGCTGCAGACAATCTGCCTTCCTACGACATGATATTCCATGCCCTGTCCTTGGTCAGAGTCCCCAGAGCTCAGCACCTGCCTGCTTGGTTCCCTTGTTGCTTATGACAAAGTCCAAAGTCACACGTTCCCATAACACTGTCCTAGGTGTCCTTCTCTCCCTCAACCCCAACCCAACCTCTCTGCACTCCTCACATCACTGGGGTCCCGAATATCCACCCTGGCAGGTGGGCTGCCCCACCCTCCAGGTCATGGGTTCCTGCCTCCTGCCTCCTGCCTGGCCTTGGCCCTCCCTTTCTTCTACTTAATCCCTTAATCTCACGAAGTTCAGTATTTATCTATAAACGGACCTGAGTTGCCTCATGGGGTAACTATGGGGATAGCATGAAACAAGCCAGGTGCTGAGCCTTGTGCCTGGTAGGGAAGGTACTCGACAGTGCCCCTAATGCTGGCACCTGCTCCCTGGAAGCAGTGCTGGCTGCAGGGACCCCAGGAACTCCGATGTCCGAGCTCCATGGAGACAGGCTCCACAAGACATTTTAGAGACCCAGGAAGACAGACAAGTCAGGGCAGCGCAGTGACTGTTAGGGGTGAGTGTGTGGGCAGGCCAGAAGCAGGAGCGGTTATTCCACGTTATAAAGTACCAGAATGTTCTATGCCACATTCAACTTCATACTTACAGGGACTCCTTCATGTCGGATACGGCCAATTCTGAGAGGGAAGGAAGGCCATGTGGTCAGTGACAAGTGGCATTATGTGAGCTATAAGGGCACAGAGTCACCTGCAAAGCACCCAGGGCACATCCTGGGGATGGGGAACACAAAGGGCCCACTTCCCAGCCAGGGAGCAGGCAGGGTGAGGGGTCGTTCCCGAGGGTCCTCCCCATTAGGCCTCCCCCTCTCATCCATGACCATAAGACTCAGGGGCCGTGAGCCGAGAAGCAGGGACAAGTCTTTCCCATGAGGGCAACAAGGACTCCCTGGCCAAGGGGTGTGGACATGGGGCCGCCCTCAGGGTGCTGCTGCAGGGATAGAACATTCCGGACGCTTTGGACACTGACCGTTTGTTTCGGAGAAGGACAGGAGTGTGCCCCTCCTCGTGTTCCAGTAAAGTGTCCCCCAACTGCCATGGCAAACTCATGGCTGCTCATGTCTAATTTCTGGATTAGGAACCTGAAGAAACTTCTAACTTTAATCAAAAATGATTTCAAACAATGAAGTCGGTCGATGAAGAGCATTAGACACAACAACAAAGAGAGAACCTGCCTCAAGTGCCATTTATGGTACAAAATACAACAATCCCCTCCTAAGAGTCATGAAAATCTCAAGTACAGCCCAAATCCCGGTCTTTTCATCTTCAGAGATAGCAACAAGCCACAGGCTTTAACGCTGGGGGGCCAGCCGCAGGGAGACGCTTGAAAGTTGGGAACCTGGCTGGGTAATCGAGGGGCTGGGACTTTATTAGAAACTGACAAGTCCCAGTTCTGGCGTTACCAGGAGACTCCAAAGCTTCTAAGGCCACTTCCTGGCCAAGGGCCTCCCCTCTCCCTGACCCTTGTCTCGGAAAGCGCACCCCACACAGCCCCAGGGTCTTCAGTCAGTCGTTGGCAAAGGGGGGCACAGGCACCTTGGGGCAGCTCCAGCCACAACCACTATTTGTCAGCTCCCAAGTGCCCGGAAGGCTCATGCCAAATGCCTCACCTCCTGCCTCCTCAGGCTCCTACCAGCCACTGCAACATCGCCACCTCCCTCAGCATCCAAGAGTGCAGGGCAGTGAGCCTGTGGTGGGGAGGGTTACCAGGGATGGGTCTCAGGGTTACGAGAACAAACACCTCAACTCTACAGACCCCTCCACGCTGCCCCTTGCTCCACATTCCGGCCTTCCATGAGCTATGGAAAGCTCCCAGCGCCTCCAGCCTCCCTCTGTCCCTGCCCCTGTGCTGGCCAGGCCCACACTCTGCACAGCCCAGGTACCCCTTCTTCAGGGGACACAGCCCAGCAGACTTTGGGCTCCCCCATCACAACCTTTGTAGAACAGAATTCCTCGCCTTCAGAGCACTCACCTCCATTGGTACCTGCCCATTCATCGCTTGTCTGTTTGACTAAGGTCCATCTCCCTCCCAGCCTGGAAGCCCACAAGAGCAGGCACCCCATCGCCCCTGAACCAACATATGGCCCGTGGGGATGTGGTTCATGTGTGGACACCAGCCACTGCAGACTCCAGATGGATGGGGACCCTCCTGCAGATGCTTCACCTCATCAAGCCATGTGGCTGCCCTCAGAGCCCAGCATGGCCACAAGGTCTGGCGCTTCCATCCCTCCCCCCAGGCACGGGGCTGGGGCAGAGGACACACACACCAGGAACACGGGAAGGGTAGATGCAAGGTGGCTCACCATGCGCATGCTGGGCCAGCCTCAACCTTGGCCTGGGATACTGGGGAGCCCGTCTGAGGCGAAGAGGACCCCAGCCTGAGTTCAGCTTGTGTTCTTGTTCACTTCAATTTGTTTCACACACTGTCTGTGCAAGCCTGACCTACGGGGCCACGGCAGTTGTGCGCTCAGAGTAAGCCCCTGGGGGCCGTGGAGGTGCCAAGACACTGCCCGGGGACTTTCCCACAAGGTCACACATCCAAATCCACCTGGAGGACAGCTCGTCTATTTAGAAGAGGGAACGTGACCAGCTCAAGGTGGGAAATGGCATCTCCCACCGGCACTAGGTTCCACGCGCCTACCTAGGACAGGCTCGGGGCATGGGGCCACTCTCCTCATCCCGGGGTAGGGGGCCAGGAAGGGAGCTCCTGGTTCTCCTCTGAGCCTCTGAATCAACCACAGCCATACAAAGCCCTGATGCAGCCATTCTCCACGAAGTGTCTCAGTGAACGGCAGGTGCTCTGAGGCCTGGAGCAACACTCTGGGTGGCCTTTGGTTCCCTCACTCTACTGTGCCTTGGGGAGGAGCCCTGGGTTCCAAAGGCTTTGGGGTCTGATGGGCCCGGGTTTGAGTCCTGGCTCAGCCACTGGGCAGGGCCAAGCGAGGAACCTCACTGTGCCTCAGTCTCCTCATCTGAAAATGGGTACAGGAGTAGCCATCTCTCAGGGAGGTCACGGTGAGGCTGCAGATATGGCCACACTGAGGTCATGTGGACAAAAGCCCGGGATAGTAATTTCTGGCGGGGTCTGAGTGCCCTTCCGCATCACAGCCCTCTGGGAAAAGGCACCTCAAACCCAAGGGGAGAGTGTGCCTGCAGACGCTCTGTTGTGTCTTAAGGGGTTTTTGAAAAGACTCATACCAAACGAGGTAGTAATAAGAAGTGACATTTAAAACAAATCACCCCACTTTTTCTTTTTCTGCAGCAGGCACATTTACACTGGGTAAGAAGCTGCTTCTAACACTGTCTAAGGAAGAAAATGGGCTGTCACATTGGCAAGGGAGACTTCATCTTTTCAGCTCCTGAAGAACGCGGGATAACGAAGCCTTGAGAACCCTCCCCGTGCTCCCTGGATCCCAGGAGATTAGCAGTTGTGCCAGAGCCTCCAGTGAGATGCTGCTGCACTGGGGTGCACTGGGCCACAGCTCAGCATCCCCAGCAAATGAGCCTGGTCTGAGAGGTGGGGACTCAGCTGTGCTCACGGGGCCCCAGGTCCCGAGTACATAAAGAACCCTCTGGGCCTGAGTTCCAGTGCAAACCCTCCATTGGAGGCGGGGATAAGCCAGGAAGCTCACTGCCTCACTCCCCCATTGCCAATCCCCTAAACCTCAGAGGTGCCCATATCTGCAGCCGGGGAGGCTTGGGGTGGAGGGAGGGGCACTTCCTCTCATGCTGCCTTGAAAACCCCAAGGGCTGAGGAACCCTTGTTGCTCTCCTGTGTTCTCTGCCAGGGTCCTGTCCACAGGACTCACAGGGTAAGACACAGGGTAGGGGAAAGGCAGAGCTCAGAAAGGAGCTGGAGCCCTAGCCGCCTCTCTGGGAAGGTGGAATTACTAACCACTGTGGCAGGTGGAACAACGGCCCCGAAAGACATTCTCGTGCTAATCCCCAGAACCTCTGAAGGTGTCACCTTACATGGTAAAGGGACGCCACAGAGGTGATTAGGCCAAGGACCCCGAGGCGGGGAGATTGGCCTGGATTATCCAGGTGGGCCCACAGTCATCATGAGGGTCCTCATAAGTGGACGAGGGAGGTAGGAGGGGAGCGTCAGGGAGACGTGACAGTGGAAGCAGAGTCAGAGGGATGCTGCGCTGCCGACTTTGAAGATGGGGGACAGGGTCACAAGCCAGGGAACGCACCGGCCTCTAGGATCTGGAGAAGGCAAGAAGTAGATTCTTTCCTAGAGGCTCCAGAAAGAAGCAGCCCGGCCCATACCCTGAGTTTCGCCCAGTGAGACCCGGGCCTCACCTCAGAACTGTGAGATAACAAATTTGTGTTGTTTCAGCCATGAGGTTTTTAGTAAATGTTCCAGCAGCCATAGAAAACTAAGACAATTACCTGGGTAAAGCTAACTGGGTAATTTTAATGCAGGGCTGTTACTGACACTGAATCACAAGTAACTACAAAATTAGGAGCACAATGCTTCATGAAGCCCAGAGAACATGATTTTTAAACAGTTCTATCATCCATTTCTACCACTTAACATAACATTTCCACGCTTCAAGTAGAGATTCTATGGCAGCAAAAAGCATCTGGAACCTTGAATGAAGTTCCAGGGAAAACCAAATGAATCTTAAGGCCATCTGGGCCAGGGCCCGGCACCCACACGTTACAGAGCTGGTGGGCTTCCAGCGGGAAGGACATTCGGTGCCAGAGTGTGGAGATTGCCTAACTGGTTCCATCAAAGGCCAAAAAAGTATCAACCAAAATGAAGGGACGTATTTGTACTCTATTTTTTAAGTTCTGTCAGCCTATTTGGTGGTTCCAACTATCTGATTCCTAACTGAATTTGGGAGTTGGAGCTTAAATTCCTCTCGTGAATTCCCTGGGGTTCATGAGTAGAGCCCCAGGAGCACCCACAAGGAGCTAAGAAGCTGGTCTTGTTTGGTGAATTCCAACTTGGCCCCCAAGGTCTGAGGGGCTGCCCCCTGCAGACCGAGAACTGAACAGGACTTTGTGGGCAGAGGTTGCTTCACGGGAAGGCTCTGTGCCCAGCTCTGGATCAGGCTCAGACGGAGTCTTGACGCCATGTTGAAGGGAGCGCTGGGGCACCAGGCATTGTGCTAAAGTGCTTTATACGATCTACAGGGGTATAAGGACATCCCTCCGAGAGCATGGGCAATCTCAGCACCCAGTCCCCGGGCAGCCACGCCAGAGAGATACCAGGGCTGGACAGTCCAGAGGCCAGCGCTGCCCAACAGAACTTTCTGCAGTGGTGGAAATGCTTTCCATTTGTGTTGTCCAACATGGTAGCCACGGGTAGCTACTGAGCACTTAAAATGTGTGAGGGTGTGACTGACCAAGGAATGGCATTTTTCATTTTATTTACTTTTAATTAGAATGTAAAGTGTGGCTAGTGAGCATTGTGGGGGACGGCACAGGTGGGCTCCTGCAGGCAAAGCTGCCACGTCTAGAGTGTGAAGCTTGGAGACTGGATTACCTGCCTCTGACTGACTGACTTCAGCAGGAGGGTGTTCCCTGGGCTAAGGGGGATGCGAGGGACACAAAAAGAGCGCTGCCTTCCTTGGGGCTGGACACCCCCAACTGAGAGAACCCTTAGCACG